TCTACGGGCACTACGATTGCCGCGGTTAGTACTAGCTAGTCGGATCCTCAATTCTAGTCGTTACTAAAGTTAGATAGCTCGTTTAGCTGTTTCTACTTCGACTATAAATTAAATGCGTGTTAGATTAGCCTATTTAAATATACGGCGGCGGTCTAATTTAAGGACTAATTCCTATCGCAATTTAGGGCGTATTTCGGAAATCTAGATAGAGTCGGTCTTAGGTAGCAAATCGTCCTTAAGGGTCTTTAGATAGGCCTCGAAGAATCGAGAGGTTTAGTCGGCCTTTTGTTTAGTACGTAGGTATTAGTCTTAGGCGTGCTACTAGCGCAATATAGGGTTGCTAAGGGTATTTAGTATAATAGTCTTATAGTCTTGCTACTAAATAGCGGTCTAATTAGGGAGGGAGTTAAAATAGTCGTCCTAGGTACGCTTTAGGTCTCTATTAATATATTGTATAGTATAGACGACTAAGGAATAGTTATCTAGTAGCGCTCTCGGTGCATTACGCTAGTTAAGCTTACAGTTACGAATATAGTCGTTATATTGCTTTCGACTAGAGCTATTAAACACGGTGCAATCCTTAAGTTTAGTATCCTTCTTTTAAATAGTTAGTAAGGAAGGCCCTACTATTAGCTTAGTATTTAGTTGCTAGGGCTTCCTATAGGCGGTAAATTTTGAGGAGGTTGTCCTTTAGCTATTATTCTTAACGTAAAGCAGCGAGCTTGTTTTAGGTAGCTTCTTAAAGTCTCGCTACTAGCTAGGGGCTAAAGGCTAGTTAGCTATATCGACGGTTAACAATATTGCTAAGGATGTCGTTAATAGGTAACGATAGGTTATCCCTTTCGATTATAGGTTCTCTAGTAGGGTCTCTAGTAGGCGCTTTAGTAGGCACTTTAGTAGGCACTATACTACTAGTGTTGTTATTGCTAGCACTGCTAGTAGCGCTACGGTTGTTATTACTTTGTAATAAGCCGGCTATTATAATAAGGGGTAATACTAATAATATATTATAGGCCCCTATAGTGCGGATATAGCGGAATTAGCGAGTATCGGTCTAGTATAATTAACTTAGTATAGTAGGCTATATAGAAGGCCTTGCTTAATAATTAGTACGGTTATTCTAATAGAATAGTATATATAGATCCCGCCTCGGGCGCAATATAGTTAGATTAACGGTTTCCGTAGCTATACCGCTAAAAGCTTAAAATAAGGACTATCTAGCTACTACCTTTAAAGGGTAGATCGAATACTATATAAGAAGGGTATATTAGTAGGTAGATAGGGTAGTAGTAGGTACGAGTAGTATTCGATAGAGATCTAGAAGGAGAAGGAGGAAGGCAGGCTAGTTAGCCTAACGCTAAGCGCTAAGCCCTACCTAAGGCACTAAGACCCTAGCTTTACTTAGCCTAGTTATATGCTAATTACGTATAGCCTCTTTAGCCCTAATAATATAGTAAAAGAGAAGAAGAAGTCGAAAGGAAATAAACGAAAGAAGGTAGAGGTATATCGCTTTAATATAGCCGTAGAGGACGAATAGAATACATTCTTATTAACCGTAATAAATAGATGCCCTATATAATATAACGAAATCTATTAATACTATACGAGTCGGTCGCTAAGTCGGTACTAACTTAGTATACGTAGTAGACGTATACAAATGCTAGTAGTTACCCGAGTATACGTATAAACGTTAGATATTAGTAGAAGTAACAATCGTATAATATACAGATCCGATAGAAAATGTAATTTAAATGCTAGTACTAGTACCTACGACGACTCGAGCCTAACTCGATATACAAGTCGGACGGTAAAGAATAAAATTCTAACTATAATTAGATTTGCTAGAATTTCTGGATCGCGACGATCCTATTAGATAAGATCTTTAACGTACGATCCTAAGGATCCTAAGGATCCTAAGCGATTCTATCGATAGGATCGTCGCGATTAGTAAAAAAGTTTCCGTAACGTAAGGAAAGCTTCTAGCCTATATCGGCAGTTTATAATATTAACTAAGATAGTAGGTATAGTTAAATTAACCGGGAGTATTAAGGAAACTTTTTAATCTATATCTGCTACTTAGGGATTTAATTAAGGTAGTATATAAAGGTAGATCGGCTATAAGTATAGGGCAAACGCTTTAGTATCTATCGGTAGCTAGAAGAGTTAACTAAGACGGCGTATAAAGGTAAATCCGAGTATATCTAATTTACAACCTATATCCGTAGGCTAGTTGTTATTAAATAGTCTCTTCTCTCTATACCTTATAGTATATTAGCCTTACGATTAAGCTTGCCTTTACTAAAATTCTAGCTAATCTCTAAGCTACTAGATATTCGTAATCTTCTTTAAAAGGCGTAAGATTGAGATATTTATTAAGATAAAGGATTGTATTCACTTGATATCTAGGCTAACGAAGCGTAAAGAAGGAAGGAAGGAGCGACTCGAGGGTTCGGGCCGCCTATATACCCGTGTCGATGCCTTAGGCATCAACTTTCACGCTGCCATTTACATACTAGCTACGATCCGTAATAATATTAAAACTAATAGCTATTATCCTATTTAGCCTAGTACTTAGGTACTACGCGTCGTAAAGTATTTCGTAGCCTAGACCTACTAATCTTAGGATATACTAGGTATACTAACGATCTCTATATCGTATTATAGTATTCCGAAGATTCCTATAGAATAATCCTACGTCTATTAAGAATATTCTACCGCTATTTAATATGCTTAGATCTTAAATCTACTATAAGCGACTTTAATAGTCTACGCTTAGCGGCCGTATTCCCGCTATTTCCTTTCCTAAATCTATATCTTCCGTAAGAGAGTCCTTATTTTAGGTACGAGGAGCTTGCTTTTACGATACTTTCTTAAGAATTAAAGTAGAGTTCTAATAGATAGTAGAAGGGCGAGCTATAGTATAGCTTTCGGATTTAACCTCTCGTACTAAAGGGATATACGTATAGTTAGTAGAAGAGAACTCTTAGATAGTAGGTAGTTTTCGGAAGTGCTTATAGTAAGCCTAGAGTAGCGACGCTATATTAAATTGCCCTAGAGCTATAGTAATAGCGAAGAGACGTAGGCTACTAAAAGCGTTAAGAACGATAGTAATAGAGACGATAGAGGCGAAATAGGCGACGTATAGGTAGAATAGGGATAGACCGAGTAAGAGAAAGATAAGCTATACTACGCTATATATCTAAGCCTACTATAACTACCTCCTACCTATAACTCCCCGAGGTAATCCTACCTTAATTAGCGCCTAGCTATTACAAAAAAGCAGTTTATTCTCTTTAATTAACTAGGGCATACTTAGGTATTAACTAATACTAGCGCGAGTTGACTATCGGTATCGAGCTTTCGGTATAAGGCTAGCGGTAACGCTTTTCGGTACGAGATAGGTAGGGTAGGGCATAGCGTAGCGGCGTCGGGGACTATAGGTAGTAAGCGTAACTACGATACTATAGGTTATATAAGCTATTGCCTTTAAGATAAAGGTAGTAAGGGTAATTACGATAGCTCGGATAGTATAAAGCGCTACGCTCGCTATAGCTATATAGGACGCTAGGATAAGGATAAAGGGGGTAGATATAATTATATAATTACTCGTATTATATAGTCGGGGCTATAGGCAACTACGTAAAGTAGGTAGTAGTTATATTTAGTATAGCAAAAGCGATCTTAAGGTATAATATCGGTATAGATAGATTTTCGCTATCGCTAAAGAAGGCGTAACGTAGGAGAACTCCTACTAGCTCGCCTCGTCTAGCCGCCTTTAAGGAGATTATATTTCTAGTTACAATCGGCGACTAAAGTATCGATAAGTAGATAAATAGAATAGAGACGAAATTAGATTATTTTTGTATTATAGGGCACTATTAAATAGGTTAAGGTTCGGCTATAGGTAGGATAGTACGAAGATAGCCGCTAGTTAGAGCGGCTACTAATATACGTCGACTTTTGTCCTATAGCGAGGAGAAGGCTAATTCGACGAGAATATCTATCTCCGCGTCTTCTAGCGTAATAGTAGCCGCCCTAACTCTATCTCTATCTATTATCGTAGTACCTCTACGGGTAATAAATATACGTAATACGCTCTAGCAATTGTTCTATTACGAATATCGACTTTATTTTATTCTTCTAAATATATATATTATACTATAATATAACCTCCTTCTATCGAAAGCTAAGCGGTTTCAAGTTCCTAGACGATAGTTACTAAGAGGATTTACCTTATACTAATAGGCGATAACGAAGTTTTAATTAGGTATACCTAATAAGAAATCGTAGACTAGTAGCTATCCTAGATAGAGGTAAAAATTTAGCCTATACCCTAGTTATATAAGCTTTACTATAATAGCTAAGAGAGGACGTCGCTAGCAATTATCTTAAGTGCTTATAAGGTTAGGTATAATATTACTTATTATTATCTATACCTAGGATCGAGACTTACTACGCCTACTTAGATTTACGTAAAATGCTACTTCGCTACGTATTAGACTCTAGCCTCGAGCCTTTCGATTACTGTAGCTTAGTAAGTATATAAAGCCTATAAAAGAAGACTTAGAGAGTACCGGCTTAGAACTATTAAGATTAAGGTCTTAATCCTATAGCCGATCTTACGAGCGATATACTAGGCTTCTAGCAAAATTATAGCTCCGAAACCGATAATTATAGTATTAGTCTCCGATCCGGCGGTACTCTCTTAGCTAGAGGAGTAGCTTAAAGTATATACGCGAGTATTTCGCGCGAAATAAAGAAGTAATATATACCTAATATCGAATCTTACGAACTAGGTATCTATTATACTTTAGCTAGACTATTATCTAACGCCCTATAGTATTTATACTATCGATATTAGTATCTTTAATCGCTTTATTTTATATAAGCGGCTTCTTATAAGCCTATTTAAGAAAGTTATATATTAGATAACTATAAGGCATATATCCTCTTAAAGAGAAAGTAGGAGAAAAGAGTAGAACTTAGAAAAGAAGTATTATTTAAAGGACTATAAATAAAGAGTAGAGTACTAGGGAGAAGGAGGAGTAGTAGAGAATAGAAGAGTAGCAAAATCATTTCCTATCTATAAACAAAACCTCTAATCTACCAAAAAAAACTCTACCTAAACCAAAACTGCGGCGCCTCCTCATGCAAAAACTCCGTTAGTCTCTGCCGAAAAGCCTGATGCTCAGCGAGCTGACGGCTCGCCGTCTCTCGCAGCTCCTCCGTCACGCTGGCTTTAGCCTGCTGCTCAAGCCGTGCCTCCATGGGCGCCGTCTGTCTCAAGATATCAATAACAATAGAATCTTTCCGCACCCCGCCGAAACTGGATTCGCCGGCGTAATCTGTAAGCCGGCGGACGTTGCGGACTGCGCGGGTTTCTTCTTCTTTTTCTTCTTCTTCTTTTTCTTCTTCTTCTTCTTCTCCTTCGTCGTCGTCGTCTTCTTCTTCTTCTTCGTCGTCGTCGTCTTCTTCTTCTCCTTCGTCGTCGTCGTCGTCTTCTTCTTCTCCTGTCTTTCTTCTCTTGCTCGGCGGCTCTCCTCTACCTATCTCTATAGATGGCGATGGCTCTGTCTCTGTCTCTGGCTCTGACTCTGGCTCTGATTCTGGCTCTGGTTCTGGCTCCGGCTCTTTTCCCTTTCCTTTCCCCTTCCGTTTCCCCTTCCTTAGCCCTGACTCTAGCTCCGGCTCCGTCTTTTTGTGCATACGGGTCACCGTAGCAACATCTTCGGTCGTGACATGGGCAGTCCTTCGACCACCCTTATGCCTCCTCCGAGCACTGCTGGCTTTCGCTACCTCCTTCACGGCGTAGCGCCAGTCTTCCACCGCGCCAGCAAGGGTCCGCAAAGCCTTCAAAAGGCCATTGGGCCAGGAGGGAGGAGTGCTGCCGCCAGGAAAAGTCCAGTCCCAGCCTTTCCAGATTTTATTAATGCCGTTGATACGGCTATTGGCCTCGCTCTGTGCTCTTCCTACCCGATCCACTATCGTCTGCAACTCTTCCAGCCCCGAATATGCATTGCGAAAGGTAGCCGCACTCCTCGGATGATGATTCTGAAGCCATTTCCACGATACATGGCATTTGATTTCGTACTCTTCTGTCTCCTCCACGCTTCTCGTCACAACATCTATTACAAATTTTATTTTTTCTTGCTCATTATCCCCCAGATTCTCCAAAACACCCAAAAAATCGGCCTCGATCTCGTCATATCGCAAAATTGGTGCCATAATGCGATGCGATTCGATGCGATTCGATGCGATGCGATGCTGGAGCAGGAGCAGGAGCAGGAGCAGGAGGTGGTGGTGGTGCTGATGCTGATGCTGGTGCTGATGCTGATGCTGATGCTGATGCTGATGCTGGTGGTGGTGGTGCTGGTGCTGATGCTGGTGGTGGTGGTGCTGATGCTGGTGGTGGTGGTGCTGATGCTGGTGGTGGTGGTGCTGATGCTGGTGGTGGTGGTGCTAATATGCTGATGCTGGTACTGGTGGTGGTGCTGGCTGGAGCTGGAGCCGGAGTTGGAGCAGGAGCAGAGGCAGAGGGTGGAGACGCTGGAATGGGAGCTTTCGGACCAAGAGCGAAATCAACCTACACTTCTCAGAGAGTGTAAACGAACCTTATATATCACGGTAGACTACAGCAGTCGGGAGGCGCTTGCAACTTTCGGGCCCTTCCTCCCTCAAACAGACATCTTCACCAAGGTCAACAAGTTCAAATCGAGAAGGTCCGCTTCGCTGTGCTGTGCACCTCCCTCATGCATACATCTCGACCTTGGTCAACAAGTTCAGATCGAGAAGGTCCGCTTCGCTGTGCTGTGCACCTCCTCGACGGACACATCTTTACCTTGGCCAACAAGTTCAGAAGTAGAATCCCCGCTTTGCTGTGCTGTGCACCTCCCCCATGCGTACATCTTAACCTGGGTGCATTGTATGTGCCGAGTGGAGAATGATTGCTGTGCAGATTTCGGTCTCTGGTACCTCAAATATCATCTGCGTCTCCCGTGACATGGATGTGTCTTGACTCTTGACATCCTCGCAGACGACTTCGCTTCTGCTGTGATGTAGATGTGTCTTGCTTGAATATTGATACCCTCGCAGACGTTTTCAGTCCTCCCAAGCATGTCTTACACAAACTTGCGGCTGCCGTAGATGCTGGCCATCTGGGTTCTCCTCTTGTAAGCCCCGAGCTGTAGCTTCGCCATCAAACTCTTGCCGTTGCATTAGCTTTTTGCAGTCCAGCATCAGAAGCCTGCCGACAGGATTGAAGTTCCAAGTTGCGCTGTTCGACAGATGCTAAGATTGCTCATTGTAGGGAGAGGTTGGCTGGCACTGGGACTGGTTAGGCTGAAGTACCAAGGCTGGCGACTTTGGTTGTAGCCGCAAACAAAAGTGCATTACAAGCTTCCACGCGGGTCTCTATGATTTGGTTGAAGAGTTGGTCCGGAATTGTGCGCACAATCTAGCCACTTGAAGCCGTGGACAAAGTTGCACGAAATATAGCAGGCTGACGATTGGACGTGTTGGCATAGCACCTGGGACGAGAGATTGGCAGATGCCGCCGCCGGTGATTGATACCTTTCTCGTGGTTCGAAGACTGGACTGACCATTCGTTTTGGCTCACTATCATCCGGAGCCGTCACACTTCCACCCACTACCTCTTTCACGAATCTTTGTTTTGCTGGAGATGCTGGAGATGGTTCGAGTTTGAATTCTACTCACCGGAGTGAGTAGATGAAATCATGCCGGGACGCCGGAGTTTGCGGTTGACGCGCTCAATATCAGCTGTGAGGCTTCAATCGCCCACCGCAAGTCATTCGTAGAGGATTGGTGTCTATGCAGGCATCAGCGTAGGCGATGTCGTCAAGGGTATCATTGGCTCCAGCACAAGGTGCGATGAATGGCGATTTGGTCAAGGTGAAGGGCATTTCAGCCCTGCCAACAAAATGTACCGCCTGAAGAAAGAAGTGCAAGCCGCTGTCTATGTATTCATGGTCCATTGGGGCTCGTTACCTGGTGCGGGTGAAGATGTATTGAATTGTGTGGCCGGCCACAGACGACAAAAGTGCGCCCACAAGCACGTCGTTGGTGGCGAGGGAGCGAGGTACCTCGGCGAGCGCGCTTCGTCCTCGTGTACTGCTTGCTACTCTGCCGGCCGCGCTCAATCAGAGACTTGAAGTTCAGTCCCACCATCTCCTCCTCTGCTGACTCCCACCATTTCCCCCTTCGCTGACTTCCTGTCCGCCGCCTCTGCCGACTCCCACCATTTCCTCTTTCGCCGGCTCCTACGATTTCCTCCTTCGCCGAATTCCTGTCCGCTGCCTTCCACGACTCCTTCCCCGGCTCCTCGCTCTTCTTCTTGCTCACGCGAGCTCCGCTTCCTTGGTCGGCCTTGAGCTTCTTGCTAATCCCCGCAGATGTCGTTGTGGTGGTGGGTTCAGGCTTGGATGTATCACCAGAGAAGAATGTGTAGACTGAGAGTATATGACGGGCGTGGCGTGCGAGGACTCACCGCCGAGGCGGACATACTCGTGGAGGCTGCCTTTCCTTCCTGCGCGGCATCCTGGTACACGCATGTGCTTTTCCGGTCGGCCAAACTCGGTGCCATGATGCACTTGCTGTGTTTGTCTGGCCCGATCAGGCCTCACGAGGCAGATTTCCGTCTATGAAGACTCTGACGTTTCTCGGCGATGATGTTGAGGAGGAAGCCTCTTCCGGCCATAGTAAGTGCGCGCGATGTTGATGCGTCAACCCTGTGAGCACCTTGTCCTTGCATTACCGGTATCGGGAACGGCGGTGGCGTGTAGTCAATGGCGTCGTCTGGGCTATGGTGCCAGGTTTTTGGTAAGCCTTGCTTGCGGTGTGTCAGTGTACTCTTGAAGCGAGCTGCTCGCAATGCCGACTCAAATGTACCATGAGATTTGATGAGCAATTGATGGAGTGTGCTGCAATGAAAGTGCGCGATTTCCGGTCGCTTGGAAGAGACGCTCAAAGGAGAAGTCCACGCCGTTCTGCTCGAGTCGAGTCGAGTCGTCGCTTCGTCGCTTCGTCGCTTCGTCGGCAAGTCGGGAGCTGCTGGTGAGTTCAATCTTCACGCCCGCGTTCTTGTGCAGAGCATTAACATCGAGTCTCCTCCGGTATCTTCCATCCGCAAACCTGGTGCCCCTGCCCCATGCGCATCACTCTCCCGACATCGTCATGAGCAGCGTGTGCGCCAGCGATCCGCAAGCCCGATGCCTCTTCCCCAAGCGCACCAGTCTCCCGACAGTCTCATGAGCAACAAATACGCCAGCTATCCGCACCGCTTCACTATGCGCATCACTCTCTTGATATTTTCACGAGCAACGATGACTCCAGCATGAAGGCCGCTAAGCTCAAGGCCTACGCAGACCCTGGCTGCCAACATCCAGAGTCTTCGCGAGGAGCTAGCAGGTACAGACGAGAGCATTGCAAAACTTCAGAACACCATAGCCACTGCGCTGGACGACCTCTTTCGCCCTTTGTTGGCAGCTTTGGGTGGAAAGGATAACGGTGGACAAGCAGCAGCTGAAGACGCTGCATCTTCGAAAGAGCAAGAGCAAGCAGAGCTTTGGAGAGGGGACGCGTCATCACAGGCGCTACGGCGAAGCAGGAGCAGCTTTTTGAAGAGTATGGAAGGATCACGCAAATGGAGGTGGAATTCCTAGGTTTCGAGAGAGTGGCCAATTGGGTTCTTCATAGCCTGTGTGCTTCGGAGGCCGATACGGCAGGATGCGATACAACATATGGCTGATGCATTGCTACTTGAGGTAGTTGGAATATGAATCGCTTTGCTCCTCCCCGCTCGCGAACACAGTGCTCTCCTTGACGCCCTCCACGCAGCACAAACTTCAGCAAACCATGATACCCTGGAGGATGTTGGTGCAGGCAGCCACATCCTACATGCAGAAACAACTTCTCCCACACAGAACGTCCTGAGGTTCATCCGCAGGCTGAAGGTAATCGAGACCAAGGATCAAATTTGGCTTCTACCAATGCAACATCAGGCGCCAAACGACGCAATGAAACATGGCCGCATCTTCTTTGCAGGAGGTGTCATGATGACTGCCAGTGCTAGTGCCAGTGCCGAGGAGAAAATCCGCGCTACGACACCAAGCCGGCCATATCGTCTTATCAACGCAGATCTGGTCCATGTGCCATAGAACTTGCGACAATCCCTATGAAGATACATCCCCTGTTGTCTCTCACCCCCAGACACCCTCCGCCTTACGAAGTTGACAAGGTGAGAAAGCATTCGAAAGACATGGTCGAGAAATTCAGGCCGAAATCGGATCACGCTTCACGAAATCCTGCTCTGAGATTGCTGACTGTGTAAGAATTGACCGAAACACAGTTGTTACGGTTGCCCTAGTTGCTTTTGCTTCGAAAGTAAAGGGAAATCAGTACAAACTGCGCCTCAAACCCCCCACGATTGCTAGGAATGACCGAAAAGACGGCAATGCTATCGTCATTCTGCCGCTTACAGTTCTCAAGATGTGCTTATGTGGAGCGCTTAGGTAGAGATGGGCTACGTTCTACCCAAAGTTTGAGAGCCTCGCATCGAATGGGAAACAATTGGCTGCAGACTGCTATGGTTTGGGAGTTGCCATCGAATGGAAATGTCTTTCTCGGGAGGCTTTCTAGGCCGGGAATTGCCCGATACTGCCGCAATCGCAGCCTCCGCCGCCGCAAACTTGATTCATAAGAACAAGCCAAGTGAGCACGCGAATCCGTGGACAAGGGTGACTACATCTGGCGACAAAATACGCATGTGAGTCGTCTTCATGCGAAAGGCCGCGTATTGGAGCCCAAATGATCGATTCGCAAAGGCAAGCGTTGGCGATTAGAACTGCCAGCCCTTGACAGTAGAGCAACTGGCTGAGTGCATGAGAGCACTTGGTGGACGATCTGGCAGATGTTCGCCAGAAGACCAGAATGCGTGGCTGAGAACAACAGGTTTCCTGGTCTGCTTTTCTTCGTGGCTTTGCCGGTGTGAAAGTCATGCTCCGTTCTAAGATCACCATGGCTCGGCCACCAAAGCAGAAAGGAGATTCCGATGTGCTGAATGCTAAAAGTCATCCACTCGAGGTTTCTATTTCATGAAGGTCTTCACCAGAGCAGTCAAGCCACAAGTCCCCAGCTTACACGGCAACCATCGATGATCCTGAGATCGGAAGGCAGTGATCTTCTTTCGAGATGTGATCAAAGGTGGGGAATCTACCACCGAACCTAGCTGAGACGCATTGCTGGAATCCAAAGGGCGGTGAACCGACAGGTTCATGGCCCGAGACTCAAACAAAGGCATCGAGATCGCGGTCCAACAACACCTCACCGACCGGGAGATTTCGTGGACCTATACATGTATGCAGCCGTCTCCTGAAGACATCGCCCATGACGGCAGGGTTTGCTCAGTTGCCAACGAACACATTTCCTCACCAGTGTGAGTGCAGGCGTGCGCTTTCGACAACAAAGAGCATCGCCCGTGGCCGTAGAGGTTGCCCTGTTGCCGAAAAACACTTTCCTTCACCAGTGTAGCTACGGACGTTCGCTTTCGAGCACGCAGATCTCTCTTGCGCAAGGAACGGAGAGTTTGATACACGGCATTCATGGACCACAAGAGTGGTCAGAATTTCGTGACACCTATCAATGATATAGGCGCACAGCTCGCTGGCTTTCCGATCACCAACCATCTCTACCAACAACACCTCCAGCGCCATCTTTTCATCTTTGACGTAATCTCACCAGTGGTGGTCACACATGTCTTGCCGACACTGACACCTACACCTACAAACACACGCGCACACAAGACGTTCTTGCGCACCTCTAGCTCGTCTCGCACTCCACAGTCTAGAAGGCCTGCTCTACACCATGGCCCAAGCACGCCTTTTCACTGGTGGATGAAATGTCTCCGGGTGGTACTTTCCTAGCCTCGCGAAAGGTGACGCAAGCTGGAACTTCTGCGTCCATCGTTCGCCCTTGTGCGTTGGTACAGGCCCACGCACTCTCATCAAATGTAGCGTGATGTGAGACGATGCATTTGGGCCGATGCGGCAATTCTTAGGAGTCATGGAGATTGCCAATCGAGATCGTTTGATCACGGGCCTTGGCATTCAGAAGCTGTTGGAAGCTACCGCGGAAGTATTTGCTGCACGTTCTTCCTGCTAGAGCATATCATACCAAACCAAAAACCTTCACATGCTGCACTCCAATCTAGCCTTAGAGTTTATGGTTGTGCTCGAAGAGCCCTTCTCTATTGTCGAACGGCGGGAATGGACTCCCGACACAGACTGCATTGGGCCGGGAGCATGAAAATCTGTAGCGCCTTGTAGACTTTACCTTCAATCCAGTCCGGTAGAGTAGTGTGAGCGAGGTTGGTACAGGCTTCGTAGAGAGGAGGCCGACACACGCACGTATAGAGAGTCAAAAGCAGTCGTTTGAGATTGTCGATAGGAAAGCCTCCAAGGGCGGCAGGACTCGAGACAGTGTCGTGACATCTGCGATTCCTGTCCGCGGGTGTTCTTGCTGCTGCTTACGCAAGATTGGTGATGCCTCTGTCGTGTCTTGCAGCCGCTGGAGTCTCAGGATCGATCTTGGTTGGGTCGTTGCTGACCAACTTCATAATTATGAGCTTGCTTGATGATTACGATACTGCTTGAAGGTTATGATCCTGCTCAATGGTCGTGATCCTGCCTGATTGATGAGTATGACCCTGCTTGATTGACGATTATAGTCCTGCTTCATTTATGGACTTGATCCTGCTTGATGCTAGTGATCCTGCTCGATTGATAATTGTGCTGCTTGATGATTTCGACACTGCTTGATGATTTCATAGATCTGAGGGGCAGGCCCAGCAGACATAATGGCATGGTCATGATTATTAGTCTCTTCTCCTGCCTCTCCGTTATTGTGGTCCACTTCCGGTGCATCGATTCTTCGAAGCAACGGCTTCTGCAATAGAGCGGCTTTGTCGACAGGCGTCTTCTTACATGTCGTGTTGGCGAAGGTATGCTTCCTCCTCCCGAACGCGCGATTTCGCTGGCTACTGCATATTGCGAGGGCCGCATTATGATCATCAGCGGACCCGGACTATTCGAACAACGCTTGAAGACCGTTTCTAATAGGAACTTGCTCATTTGAGTGTGATTGGGAAATGTCACGCACCCGTGCCTAGGAAACGGCTCTTTGTGTGGTTTCAACGTCGAGGGTTTGTCATCCATATGCATCGTGCGTCAAGTGCCTCGCGCGAGGCGAGACATTCTTCCACGCCAAGAACAACAAGTCGCCAACAATCATCGACCACGACGCAATCCCGGATCACGCCATCACAAATACATGCAGCTACAACTAGAAGCATCCCTCTCCTGCGCTCACTCTAGCACGCGCCTCTGTACGGCTTCACGAAACCTATTCCAGCGCTCCGCTTCCTTTGCTGTCAAAGCCCCAACCTCTTTACCATTGGCCTGCCAATCGTCAAAACCTGTCTCCGGTCGTTCGATGCATGCCCGTAGCGCCACCTTGGCCATCTCTATACACCACGCCTACATGGGCTCTCCGCCGGCATAAGCTTGCTCCTTCTCTGTGGCATTGCTCCGAAGGTAGAGCGACCAGAGATTGATCTCGTGGGCGTGTGCAAAGCCTCTCTCTGGCGCTTGGAAGCTGGGATACCCTTGGAGCAAGTTCCGAAAGCGCTTGCTATGACCGTCAAGCACCCCATGAGACTTCTCCAAGCTACTGTTCAGGGCCGGGAGAGCATTCCAGGCATTTTGAAGACGTGTTCGGGCCTTGTCGTACCGCGTATCGACGAGATCGCAGGCTTCTAGGTAGTATAGAATTTCATTCTATGCGGGCCAGAAGAGTATGCGAAATGGTAGAGAGTCGAGAATCATAAGCGCCGGATTGTCCTTGCGGGTCGTGTCCGTAATCACGCGGCGACGAGAGAAGAAGGTGCGCATGCGGTGCGTGCCGAAGATTGCTGGCAGCACGCACTTGCTTGGCCGGCGATCGACAGAAGCCCGGTTGGTGTTGCTCTCATCAAGTTTGTCGACGATATCGAGGTGACTGATCAGATAGTCCACAAGACTCTAGAAGCTAGTGCGAAGACCAGCAGCATTGTTCTTCGAATCACGGAAGAAAGCTATGCCAACATCGTCGACCACTTTCAGCATTTGGCCCAACAGTTGACAACGGGTGAAGAGCTCGGGATCCTGGTACGTTTGCAGTTGTTGGGACAGTTGTTGCGGGGATGTGCCTCCAGGCAAGAAGCTGGAACAGTCAGTGCGGAGCCACGTAGGTATTGCGCCGACATGTTCGCAGCCAATCGCAAATGATACTCGCTCGACCTGACACTGGTCGCTCCTAATGCGTAGCTCGAGAGGAATCATATAGGTGTAGGCGATAACGCTGGTCGTGTTGGCGAGGTCGAGGAAGCTCGTGCTAGCGTTTCCAAAGTCGTCTGGATAAGGATTGTTGATGAAGTGCTAGCGCACAAGGAACAGCGGCAGCCCGAGTGCACAGTACCAGGCAGTGAGCTTGCGGAGTGGCCGCGGACAGTAAGTAGTAAAGAACGGTAGCAACCGAGCGGAGAAGACCAAGCCAGAAGGTCCAGTGGAGCATTGCCGGGCGATGGATAGGCCAGAGTGGAATCGGCAGGGTAATGCCGAAGCGCATAAAGGTCTGAACGAGGAATCTTGCTGCCTGGGTGGCGCAGGATTTGAGAATGCTAGGCTGGAGGCGGCGGATGAGCTGATCAAGCTGGGAGCTGGGGCCGAGGAAGAGGGCGCAGATGAGAATGAGGAACAAATGAAGGCGAGAAGAAGCATTGGAGAGCCGGAAGTGAGCAAGTGGCATGCCATTGCGATGGAGTTGGAAAGCCCGAACAATAAGATGTTGATCGTAGGAAGCATAATGCTCGCTATGGCTATGGTCGATCAGGAGCGGAGTGTGGATGAAGGATTGTCGTTGCAAGAGGAGGAGGAGGGAAGCGGGAAGAAAGAAACGGGTCGACCTGCAGTTGAATGTTGAATGTTGCTGGTTCGTTTGTATGCAGGCCACCCTACCGCAAACGACCTTGTGCTGACTTTGCCATGTCGCGTCGTCGGTCCGACAGGCATCGCGTTGGCGTCCCGCATACGATGCATGATACCATACTGCACAATACGCGATCACATGTGGTGCGAGGCGCGAGAAGATAGAGCGAGGAATTGAGCAAAGAGGTTGTTGACGAGGTTGAACAAAATCCCAGAGGAAGAGCCGCGGATTATCGGCACGGCCCGCTCCTCGCGTCAGTGCTGCATAGGCAGCGCGTGTCAGGCCGCGTCGTCCTTCGTGAATAATGTGGTCACCGGCTGCCAAGATCTACGAACGACATGCGCCGACTTCATTCGGCGCGCGCATTGAAATGCATGCCGGTAGCCGCTGTGCGGTGCAGTGCACTGCTGATGCCCCCTGACCGCCCACCGCCCACCTGGTGAAGGGATGTTCACCCTCAATCTCTGCTTCTCTCTTCCCGACTCAGTCGACATTTTCACGACAACGAAATGCCTCCTCGCACGCATACGCCTCGATCGCTGCCACTCGGCACACGAAACAAGATGTTCACGTTCTCCGATGGCCATACCGACTACATCTCATCACCCTCCGCGTCTGAGTCTGAGTCCGGGTCTGAGTCCGCCAACCCTTCTTCCGCACTACTCAAGTCCAGGTCTCCGGCAACAGTGAAGAGATGGCCGGCCAAGAGTTCTCTTGTGGGAACCTCTTCCGAAGATAGAGAGCAGGATGGAGAGGAAGATGAAGAGCAGGAGGGAGGGGAAGGTGAATAGCAGGAGGGAGAGGAAGATGAAGAGCAGGATGGCGAGGAAGATGAAGAGCAGGATGGCGAGGAAGATGAAGAGCAGGACGGCTTGGACTCTGTAGACTCTGCGGAGAGCGGTGAGGATGTTTCGGACAGCGAGCAAAGCGAGGGTTCTGCATACGCCTGTTCAGATCCACTGGCCAGCGAGGGTGATGATTCCGAACATGAGGCTGACGAGCTTGTGGAGAATGAGGGCAACGAGGGCAATGTCCCTAATGACAATGATCACATGAGAGCAGGCCCGCGGGGCAGCGATGGGTACGTTTATGGAAATACTGCCTTTTCCAGGAGTGCAGCCTCCGGCGAGAAATCGGTCGCGAATGTCAGGCCGCTCGTGCCATTCTCTCAAGCATCTGCGAACCCACCTGCCTTGAAGAGAGTTACGTTTCAGGACACGAGATCATTGCCAAAGAGGAAGAATCCTCTGCGAAATCAGCAACTTACCGCTGGGCCAGACAGAAGCGAGGCAAAGAAGCAACTCCTTCACCATGTTACTTCGAAATCAAAGCCGAGATCATATGCGAATACATCATCTTCGTCTGGAATGAAAACGACCTCTTCGCCGCTGACCTCTCCGAGTTCAAAACGCACCTATGAGCTTCATTTCCAAAAGCCCTCTGATCTTGCTCGACTGAAGTCCATCTTCACTTCCCGGTACCAGCGAATTCCTTCATCTGGTGCCGGTTTCCTCTGCGGTGCGGAGGCCATGCACTATCTTCTGGCATCGAAGAATCACCAAGGCATCACCAAGACCTCGACGGCACAAACCATCAGAAATCTCGTAGCTGATCATGGCTCTTTTCATTTGTCCAAGTCTGAGCGCTACGGAGACGACGACTTGAGGTCTCCGGCGACCAGGAACTTTCTGTACGACCAATTGGCAGCAGGATTGGCGCAGTACGGAAACTACGTGCTTGGGGTCGTGAAGCTTGGGCGCAGAGGGCGCAGGAACTGGGTGCTCCTCGAAGACCAGCGCCAGAACGTGGAAGATGGTAATGTAGGCGAGGTCTTGTAGGTTATCTGGGAGTATGATCACTGGGAGGCGATGGTGCCAGTAAGTGCAAGACATCGGAGTGGGAACATTGTCACTTTTCTGCTAGCCGAGAATGGGCTTTTTCCAAACTTGTAGCGTAGCGTGGGGTGAGTGTAACGTTGACGGAGCTCAGGATTTGATCAAAGAGCACTACAATGACGGTTGTAGGGATGGAATGAGATTTAGTAGCAAAAGCTGAATGAAAAATCAAGTATACCGAAGAGCTCTTCCTCCTCTACCCTTATTCTTAGCGGGGCGGTCCGTGGAATAAGCTTAATTCAGAGCTGCAGAATAATATTCTTTTCTTGAACTTTCCGCGCGTGTAAACACTTCCACCTCCTTCAAGGCAACACCTGATTATTCCAACTCCCTCGACCATCGAAGCGCACGCCGCACCGCGCACGATCAACACACCGCCAACGCCACTGAGAACGAAGTATGAGCCAGCGCACCCCTTCCTTGGTCAGCCCAGGCTACGAAGCCATCTCGCCGACAGCGACGACACACGCCCTTCCTCTCCCGCCTCGCCCAGCGGCGTCTTACCTCGACTGAATCCAGAAGTTTCTGAGCTCGGAAACGTACCACGACAAGAGATACATTCAGGAAACCATCAGCTGGTATCGGGAAAGCGGTGCGGAGGAGACAGAGCCGTTTGTCGCTGCGGCATTGACGCATCTCTTCAAGTAAGTTTTGTCGCCATGCGCCTGCCCCTCTGACACTGACATGCACGCACAGGACAGCGGGTCGGAAACTCGGCGACGGCGCTGCGCAACACAATGTCGAGCTGGACTTCTTGAGCGGCGTGGGACTCAGTGATGCTGAGATCAGCGCTGTTCGTGTGGAGAGAGGGCTGGCGCAGAACAGGGCTGGCGGAAACCATTCCAGAGCATCGTCGAGAAGAGGATCGAGGCCGAAGTTTCTCAAGAGCAAGGTCGAGAAAGAGGAGGTCGATGTCAGGGTAGGTGCATTGAAGACAGTGTCTGTAAAGAAGGGGGAGATGGTCAAGGTTAAGGTAGGGAATCAGGTCACATCAGAGGTCGAGATGCGTATACATCTCAAGCAAGAGGTGGATGAGAAGGCGGAGGTGGGCAAGTCGGCGGGACAAGAGGAGAAGTCTCCCGTATACCTCAAGCAAGAGGTGGAAGAAAAGGCGGAGGTAGGCAAGGGGGCAGGACAGCAGAAATCCCTCGTGCTTCGGAACGAGGAGAGTGAGGCACTGCCTTCTTCTTGGATGGATGGATACCACTTCACGGGTGGCTGGCGGCAAATCATTCGCGGCCTCTTCCTGCCAACATAGGAACCAGCAGGGACGTAAGTGGCGCTGGATTGTGATTTTCATACTGCAGACCGAGCTGCATGGCGCTGCTCTATTTGCATGATTGGGTGGTCTGCGAAACAGCCCGTAGTGCAACCAAGGATCACATACATTGAGCACGTCTTCAAATGTCACGTTTCCAGCCTCAGTCCTACTGGCCGAGGAGAATGCGAGCAGTTCAAGCTGTTTCGACCTCCTCACTCCTCTCAGCCATTCATTCTCAGATAATCAATCCATGCTTCTCAGATCAAAACAATTTTCATCAATCCCCACGAAAGCGCGCCAGCTCACACACACCTTTCTCGTCGTTGTACTGTCAAACCCATAGAGTTCGAGCTGAAAGTAGCGCAGGGCCTCGAATATACGTCTTGCTTCTGCCCTCATCATCAAAACTTCACCTCGTCTTGCCTTTTCTTAGAGATCAAAAGCAGCCTGCTTTCTCACCACTACCACGAGGAAAGAAAGTAGTAGCAGGATGTGGTTTGAGCCAGTACATCTTTTCTCTCAAGCCCAATCACTCCCAGTTGGCATGTTTGTGATGTCCAATCGTGGCGCCAGTGACGGATTCCTATTGAATCGGATCAGTGGCTTGATGTGGGTGGAAGACGAGCTCCGATGCGATCGTCGTGATTGCGTGGCGGTTGAGTGTGGGAGAAGGCTTGCTTGTCTACATCCGCTCGCTGATGGAAGTGGCTTGTTCCGTCGAGCACGAAGTGTTGGGTGGGGGGAGGGTTTTTTCTTCTTCTTTTTTTTTCCGGAAATGAATGAGCTTCTTGGGTTGGCAGGCTCAATATTTTGCTTCTCTGGCCTTCTCGAAGGAACTGAAATGCATAGAGGAGGCAGTTTGATTGCTGGGGATAGGAGCTCAGCGAGAGTAGTTCGGACATGGCTTGTTCCTTGCAGCACGAAGGGTTGGTTGGTTTTGGAAATGAGCCGCCCGTGTTGGTAGGCTCTATGATGTTCTCTGGCCTTCGCGAAGGATCTGAAATGCATAGAGGAGGCAGTTTGATTGCTGAAGATGAGAGCTCGGCGAGAGTAGTTCGGACATGGCTTGTTCCTCACAGCACGTATGGTTGGTTGGTTTTTGGAAATAAGTCGCCCGAGTTGGCAGCCTCTATAGCGTCCTCTGGTCTTCTCAAGGCACCTAAAGCACACGAAGGAGGTAGCTTCGCGCTGAGAGCTCTCTCGCTATGCTCCGAGGTTGTAGTATTAGGCATGCGCAGATCACTCATCAAGTTTTCTTCGTGGATTTGCAGATATCGTAATGCTGATGCAGTGCTGTGGTAGCGATGTAGTGTCTGCCAAATTGTAATGCTCCAGACATCCGATTACTGACGCAGTGTGCCTGTAGTGGCGATATGGGAATTTTCCAAATCTTGATCCTTGCTGCCTGCTTTTCATAACATTCTTCTTGAGTCCTCTTGCTTAGAGATGTAGGGAACTTGAATCAGGCAGCGGATTCGTTCGTAAATGGGTGCTCTTGCTAAGCCAGCTCTCGCGAATCGCTGCAAGGTCGTAGAGACTGGCATGATCGCGCACCGATGGTAGGCCTTCTCTTCGAAGCTCCAGATCTCCTCATTCTCTGCACGTGGTGGCAAAATGTGTTTCACCGGATTTTGATCACTGCTCATAGTAGTGCCATAGCAAGCCCAGAGGGCATGAAGCAAGGTCTTTCCGAAGTTGAGACTGTCTTGGTACTTTTGGATGCTTATAGTTCAATCTCGAATCGATTCAAAACTGAATGCTTCCAAGTTTGCGATAATGCCAAGTCTTGGGACTTCGGGACTATCTTTGCGATTCCAACTGCGGACTTTCCGGAGCTCCAGTTGCATTGCAGACTGTCAATTGTCATCCAAGGAACGATGGCTGGTCTACCTGGCCGACGTGAACGAGTACACACATGGGTGGCCACACCATATCAGTACACATCCCCGTCGACAGAAGATGGCCAGTGTTCTTCAGAAGTCAATCTAAGGTCTTGAGATGATTCGGTTGCATGTCTGAAAGGCTTGGGATAGCCAAAGACGATGGGTTCGGAGCATGAAGTTCGAAATCAGGTCGAGGATGCTACAAAGGAGCGGATGATGCTCAGAGAGAGTGTTGGCTTCGTAATAGCAAGGAGCAGTCAGGCATGGAACATAGCAGCATGCTGGAGAATGATGCGATTTGCTTATACCTGGGAGAGTGTCAGTATCATTAAGGGTTGGTAACGAAGATTGGTAAGTGCAGCTACTTACCACAAATCGGGGCGCTCCCAAGGTGTACGCAAGGATAGTAGAAGGCCTCTCGGGGCAGAATGATAGGTCTGAGTCACAACATCCGACATGGTGAAGTTGAGGGCTTTGCAAAGGAGAGGTTGAAGCTTGTTGTTCCTGTCGAGCCGTTCTTCGCGTGTGGCATGTCGACTGGGCGATGATTATAGCTAGAGCATAGTGTGTAGAGTGTCTGAGGATTGATTATTAGCTTCTAGGCGTGGGGATCAACATGATCTGGTACCAATGCTTACCACAGATGGGGCCGACAATGAGGCACAAGGATGCAGAAGTACGAGCTAGCATGGGCAAGAGGATGCTTCATGTAATGCAAGGCAGCCAACAAGGTAGTATAGGTAGTGTAGTGTAAAGGAGACAGCAAGAACAGGTTCACTCTGCAAGCAATGAATGGCACAGTCGTCCGCCAGGCGCGCTTCTGGTGGGAGACCATACCAAGCATAGGAGAGAGAGCGAGCTTTGGAAGAATGTGAGGTTGCGTAGTCTGGGTGTCTTGTTGCGTGGGAGGGAGGCAAGGAAAGATTTCAGCAGCTAGAGAGTGGCTCTGCCGCCAATTTGAACCTGACTAGCTCGAGTAGTACATGGAGGGAACGTAACAGGAAAAGTTGAGATGCCTTACGATACGAGCAATAGGTAGGCGTCGCTGGAGTCTCGGGAAGCCATTGTGGCCTGATGCGTGCAAGACATTCACAAGGGAGACAAATGAGCAGGTCAAGATGTTCGCGTGCATGCCTTCTTGAAGAGGCTCTCGGCCTGACTGAGGAAGGGTTTTGTCCTCGCAATGTGTATTGGGATACAGAGGTAACTGGAGCACGAAATGCCGACTTCTGGAGTTTTGCGGTAGGATCAGACTTTCGAAATGGCAGTCGATGGGTAAGTAAGCATAGTCGGACCTTCTCCATGCGGTCCATGGCTTGCTAGGAGCTGTGGTCAGTCCTTTTGGGCAATGGGACGGCCGATGAGACACGATCAGCCTGATGGATGCAGGCGGCTTTCCTCGCAGCAGCGTGAAGGAGGGAACCCCACATTGCTTGGCGGCCGAACCGAGCAGTCCACGTGACATCTCGCGTTGTTGATCTCCGAGTCGAGTCTCCGAGTCGCGTCAAGGCTGTTGTTGTTGTTGTTCCGCACTGAGTATCGTCGACATCAAACAACGCCCGGGCGCTTTGGGGTCATGTCGCATAATGAGAATGTGCAGTGCAGCCGCTTCTGGGTGTGTGTCTGTGTGTGCAGTGACTTCCTTCATCTGGATCTGGACAGCCGACCACGTTTCGCTTCTAGGCGTTCTCGATACGGTAACCGTAGCCGTGAGTGCAGCGATCCATCCATACACATATGCGGTATGCCATGCCCGCAGCACGCTTCCCATCTCCCGGATTCAATTCAATCTTGAGCTCACGTCGCTCCCCCTCCCAGATTGTGTTGCATGTCAATGTTGAACTTATCACCTACCCACACCCACGTATCCGCTGCCTCGGTCTGGCTTGAGCTGCTTTGATTTGAGGGTGCAGCGTTGCTGTGAGGCGCAGGCGGTGGCGGTGGCTGGTGCAGCGACGATGAGGTGCATCACGGCTGCATTGCACATTCTACCGCCGGACTTTCAATTGCGGCACTTGGAGGATCATGTAGCATCTGTGTCGTTCTGTTTTCATATTGTCTGCTTTAGCTATCGTGTTCCAGACGGTCCGAGTAGAATCTGGGAATTACGGGTGGTGTTCGCACAAGTTCGGGTCGCGCCGCGGGATGGGTTTTCGCACAAGCGCGAAGGGAACGCGAGGTAATTCTCGCACAAGTGCGAACAAAACCCGCACAATCGTTCGCGTACGTGCGAAGAAACGCCGCATTGTTTTCGCACAAGTGCACGTCGGCCTCCTCCGGTGCGGAAAAACGCCGCGAATCTTTCGCACAAGTAATACCTACTAAGCTTCGCACAAGTATACGCCGGGTTTTCTTAGCGGCCCTATTCTATATCGCGACTCTTTTAGTACTCGGTAACCGCGTATATAATACTTACGATAGTTAGAGTATAATTAGACTTTATAGTAGTTCGGTTTACGAACTACTAAACGTATATAGTTTAGTTTCTTAGCGGCAAACTAGCTCCTTAGTTCCGGTTTAGTTCTTTTAAACTATATAGATTTCTAGTTTAAACTAGAGACTATATTAGTTTTACTATAAGGATACTTTTATTTAACTATTAGCTACGATTACCGACTATACTAGAGACTATATTAGTTTTAACTATTCTATAGGCGAGTTTTAGTATTAATCTCTAATAGTATATTTCCTAGGGCTATAAGAAGATATCGGTTATTCCTATCGATCTTATATATCTTAACGTCTTCGGATAGTAGGTAAATCCGGAATAGACTATTATAGCCGGTATAAATATTAAGAGTCTTATAATAATATACGTATCTAATAAGAGTAAAGTAGCTTAGCTAGATTTAATAAGGTAGGAGTCTCCTAGCCTAGGATTACTATAGATAGTTATCCGACTACTAGCTACTATTACTAGCTATAATAGTAGTAACTAGGTTATATTTACTTTACTCGTGGTTGCCTTAATAATAGCTATTAATATTACTAGGCCGTAGTTACTATTACAAGGTTATAGTTACTATTACTAGGGCGTAGTTACTATTACTAGTACGTAGTTGCCGTAGTTATAAAAGCTTATTTATATAATATTACATAGGCGGTAATAATTAGGGCTTTGCGATATTCTTATATCTTTTAACTTGTTCCTATATACCTATACCTATAATAACTACTATACGCTACGCCCCTACCTCCCTTTTCTTAAAAAAGTAAGAGAGAAGCGCGCCGCGCGCTAAATAGAAGATAGAACTAAAGACTACGAGTTTATTTTACCTAAGTATCTAAGAAAAAAGCATAGGACTAAAGAGAACTACTCTATAAAGAAGAATTCTATACGAGACTATAAGAGAAAAAAGAAGATAGATAAGAATAAAAGATCGAAGGATAAAAGAAAAAAGGCGCGGAATAAGGTATTCTATTAATAGCTAGCGCTTATAGAAAAAAGTAAAGGTTAGAATAAGAAGATAACCTAAGAGAAGGCTTAGAGAAGGAAGGAATTATATCTAATTTTCGAGCGTAAGTTTCTAGTAGTATAAGTTAATATAGCTAATAGCCTATAGCCGTAGCTAATAGCCTATAGCCGTAGCTATTAGCTATAGCTAGTAGCTATAGCTAGTATCTTTTTCTTTAATACGTTAACTACTAGTATTTAGACCTATTCCTACTACCTCTAGCGAGACGACTAATAGTAACGGAGATATTTAGATAGCTAAGAATAATAATACTAGAGTTTAGGATACCGCGAAAGAGCTTAATACTACGAATAAAGGGACTAAAAAATATAAAGAGATACTATATATCGATCTAGTAATAGGTATAGTCTTAGAGTCTAACGCTATAGACGATAAGCGCTAGGAGTAGATCGAGTATAGTTAAAGAGACGAGGTACTAGTAAAGGGCTAAGGTATAAGTCCTATTAATCTAGAAAATTATCGTTAAAGCTACTACAAAAAGCTAGTAAGGATTTGAATCGAGACTAGTCGTCTTTATATCCTCGATATAGAGTAGAAATTTCTTTATTAGTATTAAAGCGATGCCTTTACGTCTATAAAGACAAAGTAGGTTACGATTAATATAATAGAGGCTAGATATCTAGAGACGGCGGAGGAGTTACTAAAAGAGAAAGGGATATAGGTAATTATTCTATACTTAGTATATATAGCCGGCGTTTATAGCCGGTAGATACTAATAGTTAAATAGAAAGCGTTTCTTACGGGTAGAGTACTACTACTATATAAAATCTTTACTAAGATAGAGAGGGCTTATATCCGGAATCTAAGCAACTAGTAGGATAGTTTAGCGTTAGAATCCTCTAAATCTCTATATAAGCCCCCGAAGGAATACCTGTTTTAGCGATACGGCTTTATCTAGACTACTTTATAAGTACCTAATAAAGCTCGGGCGCTCTTTAAAGTCTTTACTAAGAAGCGGAATAAGTTCGAGGACTAGAATTAGTTAATAGAGCTATTAGTAAGTATTAGGTTTCGTAGCTAGACTCGGCCTAAGTATTTGCTTATCGAGTAGTCTATACTAAAAGAGGATAGATTAAGACTAAAAACGAGCTTAGATTCGTTAGGTATAGTAGCTCGGTTCCGTTAGTAGAAGAGAGCCGCCGTATAGAAGGCAAAATTCGGGTAGTTAGGATAGCTAAGGTAGCTAGGAAAAGAATTCTAGTAGTTAGGCTAGCTAGGGTAGCTAGGAAAAGGATTCTAGTAGTTAGGCTAGCTAGGGTAGCTAGGAAATAAAAAAAAGTAGCTAGCTAGTTACTATCTAGCTATTCCTAACGATACGATACTATAAAAGAAAGGGTATTTTCCTATAGCTACTAGTATATATCTACTACTCTATACCTTACTAAAGACTATATAAAACTTTAAAATATACCGACCGAGATTATATATATACTAGGCGCTATACTAGGGAGGGTAATAACGAGACGATAGTCGAAATACTCTAGCATACGAACGAGATTAGGACAACGTCGAGAGGAGGCTATATACTCGCCTTTAAGCCTATCGAGTACTAAACGACGAGTAGAGCTAGATTTATCCTCTTTAAACCCTAGTAGTAGGAATTCGTTATAGGGTACTACTATCTAATCCTTACCTTTACGGAGTCTAACTGTCTAAGTAGAAGGTTATTTAGAGATATAAGAATATCGAGTATTAACCCGGATATCTTTAAAAAGGCTAGCTAGGCGTATCTTTAGAAATCCGAGTATACCGAGCAGTTTAATTAATAGGTCTATAAGATATAGTTCCCTTTATACTTACGTTCGAAGGAGTATAAACTACGGAAGTACTTAATACGATAGGGTAGTAAGGAGCGAATAGATATATTCTAGAAGTTCTTTATAAAGGAAGTATTATACCGTTATACGACTTCTCGACTTAAAGGTTAACTAGTAATTATCTATAACTTCTACGGTTTAATCTTAGAATATCCGAAACTAGGGGATAGGAACTTATTACCTACTAACTATCTCTATTCTAAACGATATTAGGAATCTTAATGAAAGAGGAGGGTTAATATAGATATAGCGTTCTAGAAAGAGGTACGTCTTCTAAAATGCCGGCTATAGCTACTAGCTATAGTTGCCGGCTATAGCTACTAGCTACTTTAATTAACCGTATAGATCTAGCTAATTATTATAGGCTACGCTTAAGGAAGCTCTAGGATTAAAGGCTACCGATTTCTCCCCCGAAGACTTTAAGCAACTAGTAAACGAAATGCTAGCTATAAACGGTCTTCCGGAAGACTTCTATAAAAGGGAGTCTATATAGAAGATATACCTATATCTTATAAACTATCCCCCTCCCTCCCTATTTCTCGGCGTAATAACCTAGCGTATTATATTCGAAAAGAATAAAGAGGCTACGTTAGACGATATTCGAGAGATCCTCCGTAATACTCGCTAAGTAGCTATTACTATCGATAGCTAGTTAAGCCGGACTATAAGAGCCTCCTTGCTTTCGATTATACTATACTTTATTACTTCGGATTAGAAACTCTAGGAACTTATAATCGGATTCCCTAAAACTCTAGGTTCCTATACTAGTAAGGATATAGCGAAGCTTATCTATACGGTAATAGATAGAGTTAGCGTAATAACGTAACTAATCTCGATTACTACGGATAACGCTAGTAATAATTAAATATTATATAAGGCGTTATATATATAATTTATATATATTTGTCTTTAAAATTACTAATTATATCGATAGGGTCGAGTATATAGAGGAGATTGTAAGGTCTATAATCTAGCTTAATTATCTAAATATTAAGCTCGCTACGATTCCGGATACGTATAATAATAAAGATAAAAAGGAGCCTAGTAATAGCCCTAGCCCTATTAAATCGAAGCCGACGTCGTTACTAGTTATATTACTATAGAAATTTCCCTACCTCGCTTATATAGTTTAAATCGCAATCCGAGCCCTCTTTAAGACGCTTAAAATTATACTATCGAACGACGACTAATAGAAGGTCCCGTTACGAAAACTTTTTTTCTAATCGCGTCGATCCTATCGATCCTATCGATCCTAAGCGATCCTAAGCGATCCTAAGCGATCCTAAGCGACTAAGTCGCGACCCGACTCGCGCTTAGGTCGCTTAGGATCGATAGAATCGATAGGATCGACGCGATCGATAGGATCGATACGGTAAATTTTTATATATATAGGATCGCTCTAGGTCGCTCGTAGTCGCAGTCGTTAGTAGTGTTTATACTATTCGTATAGTGCTATATTAATACTTATCGACTCGTCGACTCGGTCGTATTAGTCGACTCGGTCTAAACTAGAATATACTAGTAGTACTATAGTTTTAAGTATATTACTATTATATTAACCGTCGTTACTATATGTCGCTATATCCTGTCTTACACGTTCTCTATAAACTATAAAATTATTCTTCGCCGCCTTAGTATTATTGTCCTTTGTATTTCGGAGGTGCGATTTCTATATACTCTATATAGTATATTGCCTTTTTATTACTCGCCTATAAGCCTTTACGGCTCGCATTTCCTTATCCTCCTATTCCTCGTCGTAAATTGTATTATACGTCTCGAAATCAACTGTACTATTAATATAGCGAGTCCTATACGGGGCGCCTTCGTCTACGGGTACGGCGTATAATATATAATAGACTAGTAGTAGGCTATATACCCGTCGCCCTTTAAGTCTACTATAGTACGGTAAAAGACGCCGTAGCCGGATTGTCGTTAGACTATATGCATCCTTAT